ATGCTGCCCGAGTGGATGCATGCATTTGGGAAGAAGAAGGTTTATAACCCACCAACTCCATCTTGAATTACATTTATAAGTTGCATGAGATTCCGTCAAATTTGTTTTTAAATATATAAAATTATTTTCGTGACTCAAACAAATATCAGCAACCTCAAAATGATGCCAAAGAAATGATTCAAGAAAGAACCCATGGAGTAGTCTCCCATTGGCGTTCCTTCAATAGTTTATTATCGAAGGCATGCTTTCTTGCACGGAGGTGATCGTTAACACTGGTGTTTATGCAGTAGAAAAGAGATTGAGCAATCCCCTGCTCTGTAATCTGTTGTCAGGTGACAGAGATCTCTGTGAAAAATACTTCAAATTTCATGAAAAGGCCTAACATATTATACGTTCTTCATGCTCTCTCTCTCTCTCTCTAAGATATGAGCCTCGTGATGATACAAATTAATTACGGAGAAAGATATTATACAAGTATAAATACAAGATGAAATGAAGAGAGATGGATATAGATTTTGGACTCACGAGATGAAAAATTTTGATGGGAATGAGTATTAATTCTAAAAACATGCTTAATTATGACAATCCGTATATTTATTAAGTTGTAAAAATAAATTACAGAACCTATGAACACGATTGATTCCTTTGCGGTAAGGGAGCCAAACCAATCGAATCCATGTGGCTGATATATTAGCCTCACTGCTCTCGCTCAAACGATATATTAGCCTCTTTATGAGTGCCAAAAAACAACAAGAGGAATCAAAACCAAACCACAAGCGTTACTGTTTGGCCTGTGAGCAATGGGTGACATCGGCGACGACGAGAACAGGAAGACATCACAAGAACAGATGAAGCCTCTCCTTGCATCCCCTCACTGCTCTCGCTCAAACGATGGAACGGAGAATGATCTCCTTGGCGCGGAGCCTAACGACGCCGACGTCGACAGCGAAGACGAAGAAGAGGAACAAGGAAAAGAAGACGCCCACGTCTTGGAGGCGTCGTCGGCGGGGTTAGCTTCACCGTCGGTGGCGGTGGGAGGCGGCTTGTAGTACATGCGGGCGGTCTGAGGGCAGTGGGAATGGAACCGCCACACGATCCTCACCCCCATGTCCAGCAACTCCACGTACTTCGCCATCCTTCCTCCCGCTCCTCCTCCCTGCACAAATGCCTGCGAGCGTGAAGGAAAGAGAGATGGAGACGAGTGCGGGAAGGGTTCCTCAGAAGACGTCCCAAAGGAAGGCCATGAAAGGAGAGAGAAGGAGATAGAGGCGTATGAGGAGGAGGCGGAGGGGGAGAGATAAGATCCTGGAATTTATAGTCTCTCTCTCTTCCTTAGGTCATGTCTCACGATGGAAAGAGGATGGAGGACTATTTCTTGGGAGGACGCCGACCACGCAAAGTCCAATGGAGAGAGAGAGAGAGAGAGAGAGAGAGCGCTAAGATTGGGGAGGATGGCCCAATGAGATCATTTCCGGCACAGCAGCTGTGCCGGTTAACACCTTCCTTGGATGTCACCACTCTACCAATTCTACCGCAGGTTGGAAGATACATATGGCTTTGGGTTGGTGTCAGATTCCTCACTTCTGCCACCATTCACACCATCTGTTGCTGAGATGTCTTTTCCTTTATTGATTTATTATTATTTTTCAGCATTCTTTTATTTTTTTAAAGTAAGATATTGAATGTGCCAATTAGATTCTTCTTTTTTTGGAAATAGTACGTTTGATGCCTTTAAATTTTAATATAATATATTTATATTCCTCTTTATGTTTGGGCCTTATATATATACATACATATATATATACATATGTATATATATGTGTGTATATATATATATATATATATATATATATATCTTTAAATATTTAAATCCTTTCTATGTGCTCAGTATTCATTCAGTGAATTTGGAATGTTACTTGATATTATAAAATATTAAATTATCTAAAGTATTTTTAGATATTTTCTTCAAGAATTTAAATCGAAACTAGCAAATATAATAATTACATAATTTTATAACCTAAACTTAGATTTAAGAGAATATGTATATATATTATTAATTTGGCCCTCAAATTCTGACCCGAGCAGTGAAATCAAATCTGATACACAAATAATATAAGCATAAGTATTAACTTGATCTTAACGTTCGATCCATTCGGCTATTCATAATGTTAATTTTATAATTAATTAAAAGAAGACGATCTCAAAGAAGGCTGAGACTTATACGAAAAGCTAAAGAAACAGTCATATGTGCTTTGACAATAAATTTCAGTTGCATTTTCCTAAAGGGCTATGAAATGGAAGAAAAAACATTTAATACATGCGATTAAATGTATGAAGTATGAACTGAAAAGGACTTAATTCTTGCATTAATATCAGGTTGCTTTCATCCAACTCATACCACACGTTTCTCGAGATTTCTTCCTTTATTTTCTTTATTATTCTGGGGAATAATAAATAAAGTGTAGGTTGATTCCACCCAACCACTCATGAAGAACATTTTGGAGGTTCCCAAAATGATGCTTGGTTGGTATCCTCTAAGTTTGCCTCTACATTCAAGGAATTTGGATGATTAGCTAAAATATGTCATTAATTATTTGAAAAGTTCATGAATGAGTCGGCACTTGTAGGCATTTAATTTATATTTCGGAAGTAAATTAGAAGGTGCATATCCTCTTGAATGGTGTGTGAAACAATGTCCAAAGAAGATGCGTTTCGAAGATGCCAATTTTGATATTGAAACCCATTGAATGAACCAATTTGTGCTAATTATGACGGTTTGTCTTTATTTGAGATTACGTTGATTAATTGTATTGAGATAAGTAATTTATATTATTTTCTCATCTTAGGGAAAGCTTTTTTATTTTTTGATATATAAAAAGAAATAGAATGAATTTTCATCCCAATAATAAGAGGTGCAATTATGCTCGATATCTTAGGAACAACAATCCATTCGACAAGTCGTATAGTAAAAGTCATGTCTAAAATGTCATGGCAAAGGTTTCTTATATTCTAGGAGTTTCATTTACGGAGTTGAAAAGATAGATGAAGTGTAAGTTGTTCGAGCTACTGAGAATATTTTTTGAGATGAAGATTTACTGTAGTACAAAGACTATCTCAGATAGTCTAGCATTCAGCATGTAATAATGGGTTCGAAGCTGCAAGAGAGACTCTCACTGAATTACAGATTAAATAATTAATTTGTGCAGAAGAAGTGTTAATAGTAAATGAACCATCGCATTTTATAATAAAATCACGGAGAACAATCGTAGAAGGAGATTTTGAGATGATGGTGGTGAAGTCCTCCTCAAATTGCTTGGAGGTGAGTTTGCCATCGACACAAAAAAAAAAAAAAAGGGGCTTGGACTTTGCACCAAATAATATTAGGAGAGAGGGTACGATTGTGAAAAAGCCCATCATTTTTAATCTTCGAGAACATGAAGGTTGAAATAATAACTAGTATGATATAGTATATTTTGACATCCACCCACGTGACACATTAGCTATCATAGTAGACTCGGCATGACATCTTTAAGTCGATGTGTCGCATCGAGCCATCCCAACACCATGAGCCCGAGGTCAACTAGTCACCTGATGCCACCCCCTGCACCCACTCCGCTCGAGGATGTACGGGGCGACGTGATCATGTACCGGGCCACATAAGAGGCGGGAAGCAACGTCAAACGAGACTGAATCGAGCAAATCAAAGGACGCTTGCACCCAAAGCACGAGCCGATCGCCTACGGTGTTATCGAGTATTAAACACTCGCATACGATGACGATTGGAGATTATTAAAGTTGCTACGTACGATCGCATGTAGGAACAAGTATAAAAGCCATCCCCAGGAACAGTGCTAAGGTTGGACCTCATACACACACTCCAACTCCCTCATCTCCAACTTTTGCTAACTTAAGCATGGAAGGAGTCGAGTCAAGAATCCCTCTCCCGATTCCGATCTGAGCACCCAACGGACAGCTAAATGAGTGATCTTCAGTTTCTACATGGGAGAACGAGGCCTATGACCCCCTTAACCAAATCTTGGGTTAATATACTCTAGCTTAGAGATCTTGCATACTTCGGACGGGACAAACCGTATTGACACCTCAGCCACATAAAGGTGCAAAACAAAGCATAATGCAAAAAGAGTTTTTATCTAGATTGTCTCCTTCATAGAGTTGCATACTATTTGGTCGATCGTTAAGATATCAAAAACATTACCCAACAGTCGATTGAATGAGGTTTCAACGGTGTAGCTAGTGCAAGGTAGTAAGTCAATTCTAAAATAGTTTTCAAAAAATTTGACTCTATAACAAAGAACATTAATGCTCCAAATCACTAGTCATTCAAAGCCACTTATGCTTATTTTAAAAGTTTATATAAACTTTTAGATACAACCAATCCTAAATGATGTGGCATCCAAAACAACTGGGTAAGAATATAAATAGAGGATATAAATTTTACTAAGTGTGGGTAGGGAAGCTTGTTATTTGTGAATATATGTAATTGCTTGCACTTACAAACTTGAACTACATATTTTAATGTATTATTATTTTGAAGCAATCAGGAAAATAATTTTACCCAGTTATTTTCTTGGGTCACTTTTATTTGCATCGAGAATAAGTCATCTATGAAGGTTATTTTCCTGGCTACAATATTTGACCAGATAGTATATTGATTTGACCAGTGAGAATGAGTCATATACATTGCATCGACGTGCTTGGCAAGTAATTGAAGGGAAAAAGTAAGCCAACTCAAACCTGGTTGTCTTCCAATTAGGGCCAAGTTTCTGAGGTGTACTTACTGGATGACTACAACATCTAACAAGTGTCAAGTTAAAACATCAGTATCGGCAATCATCAAAGATATAAAGAAACACAAACAATTGTATGTGGCAAATTCTTCTTTGGTTTTACCCACTTTTCCTTTTTTATCTTTCTCTGGGATGAAACGAGGTGATGAGGTGTTTGGATACAGATTATGAGAGGAACATGAGTCTAATATGTGCAGAACAATATGAGTTTATTGATCATCCATAGAGGTAAATGGGTTGTTGTCCACCACAATGTTTGACTGAGAGTGGAACACAGCCAGTTTGATTATGCCATGTCTTCATAATTTTATATTAGTTCCTTCCATGCAACTAAGCTTTACAGTTACCAGAAGCGAGATGAAAAGATAAAGCAAATGGCCAATTCAGATGGTATTATCAAGGCAGAAACACTGCATGACATCTTTCATTAGGTGGAGAGTGGAGCTGAAGGGGGCAGTAGCATCAGTATTACACTTTGTCATCATGGAACCACCATCTAGTCTCCTTGGGAGACCTACCATTCCTACAGTTCCTCACGTATCGATCATTATCAGGCGGACGTTGCTGAAATCACAAGAAATATTTCAATCTTTGTGTTGAAGAAAAAAGATGTTCAAATGTGTAGTGATGTATCGACTAGGAATGTGATGAAACCTTTGCTGTCGAGCTGGATAGCATGGATAAAATGCTGATGCAGACAGAGCTTACAGTCATTGCTGGTGACCAGGAGTCATATAAGATATCTGCCAAAGAAACCAAAATATATGTTAAGAAAGCAAATCTTCAAGATGGAAACAAGAATAATACTAGTTTTGCGTCCACTTCTTGTTTATAAAATTCCACCAATTCAAAAAAATCTGATATCGTTTCCTCAAGTTAATCAACATGATGGTGAATAGAATTTGTCTTCAAGGATGAGAAACAAATGAAATATGTATCTGCATGTGTCTATACATGCAAAGATGCATATATTAGTTGTCCAGGACATACTCTAATCTCCCAGCTCAAACATTCTGACCTTGAGCCATGAAGGTTCCTTTAAAATGTGTTAAGTTGCTATATATATACAAGAAAGAGAGGCTTACATAATATAAAATAAACAGATAATAACTAATATATTGATGAAACAACCAAGCTAAATATAACCACACACAGAGAAGTAGACATTAGTCTATTGACTTATTCATGCCTTGCTCTTCACAAAGAGTTCTTTCCTATCAACTGTCCAATATATAGCGGAATCTGGATGAAGCAACCATGGTAGCTACACATAACTAATAAGACCAACAGCTAGTCTACCTAGGAAATTGCTGAACTACACCCTTGTTCAGTTAATTCCCTTAAGGTCTGTCATGCTTAAAGACTAGCTGGTCTGATAGAATGAGATCAGGTTTTTATTACCTCGATGAAAAGATTGGATCTCATTATTCTCGACAAATCAGAAATAAGCCCTAAAATTCTCCCCTCCCTTCCTTCTTCCTTTGTTGCCACTTATCACTTCTAAAATACCATTTGGAAAGTCTGGATCAATGTTAAACCTATCTATGAAGAATAAGATGGACCCTGGCTCATGATTATAATGTCACCTTACAGATCATTTAGTCATGCTTGATTAATATGCATGTCACTATTTTTTATTATTCAAACTTAATATAAGGTATGCATTATCTGTAAAAATTGCATGTTCTTCATGAACAAGTCAAGAAAGCTCATGTAGTACTTAATCTACTGTTACTTGATACTTATTTGCTTTTAATAAAGGTACTAGAGGCTTCCAACCTGTATATACTAATTTTGGCATGTATATCTAGTTAATACTTCTATTGTTATGTCCTTCTAGCTTGTGCGCTGACATACCACACCCATTTGTTTGTGTTTGCTAAATTGTCTACAAACCAAGCAGCATTATCCTTTTTGAATATTTACATCATCATCCCCCTGTGGCCTATCCTCGTAAGAATATAAAACTTTTGCTGTGCTATCAATCATCAACCATTGCCTATAAGGTTAAGACACGCAAAAGAACATGTAGGATGTACATTTTCAGAAGCCTAATGCTGAGCAAATGGAATCTAAACTTTTTAACTAGACATATGAAAATAGTTACCAAGAATGTTGAATATTTTGGGTCATGTGATATGTTGGCAGATAAGGGTATGCCACTTAGATTAGTCCATCATATGTGGTGAGTAAGAATAGTTGGGTTTGACGTTTTGGATCACAGTACATGTTAAATTGCTTAATTGAATTGTGTTATATATTGAATCAGTTAGGTTGCTTGTGACCTCTTGTGAGATATCGTGATCTTAATAATTATCTATGCATCTAAGAGGATCAATATTAGTGCTTTAAGACCACCTGAAAGTTACAGATTTTGTTTTTATCAATTTTTTTAGTGCTTTTGTTATTTTAGGCATTTTTAAAGGATTATAGAGTAAAAAATGTTGGTGGATTTTATTCATCTTTGTAACTTCAACCTGTAAAGAAAATGATATTGACAAGAATGTACACATAATTTTGACATCCTATACGGCATAGTACTACAGTAATCCAAGATGCAAAAGTATAGTGAACAGGAACAAGGAACTAGCTGATGGTTCAACAAGGGTATCACAATCCAAATAAGAACTATGATCTAAATTCTGTAAGCTAATATTGCTAAAAACTCACATAAAGAGCCTATCTTGATAATGCCTATCATTAATTGATGACAGTTGGGATGCAAAACAACCAGAGGAATAAAATGATGATATGTACTTAAAACAGGCCAAAAGGATGATTGTGCATTGTTCAGTACCAAAACATCTACGATTGGATAAATTAACAAGTCATGCAATCATGCCACACTGAATACTTTTGCTGGTGAGGAATTACAAGATTTCACTAACTGGATTCACAGAGTAGTTTAAACATCTCTAGAAAGGAGTTCCACAAGCATGGTCTGAAGGATCAACAGATCTTCCAACCACCATCCCTTGCCATACTGAGTTGATGAGAAACAATCGATCAACTACAATCAACATATTTTCCATTGATCCCAACCAATGCCAGGTCAAGTTCTAATCCCATGCAAATTTCAGCCAATTATTCATCGCAAATTACCATATATAGATATTAGAAATATTTGTGTTCTTTTACCTGATAATGTATATTTGGAAAATTTTCAATAAATTTACCAAATTCTTAAGGAGCCCACAAGTATTTTTGAATGGTCCAGGAAAGGAAGTTGAACTGAATGAAATAATGGATTGTTGGTCATCATCATGTAGAAATTAACCTTTTCCAAATAAGCAAATATAAATGGAAGAACAATAGTAGTGATTTGGATGCTTGCACATAAGAGTTCCCTTTCAGCTATGGAAGTTCACTACACCAATCCTTAAAATCTTTTTGGTCTACTTTATATAATCATTCACATTATCCAAATATTAGAGTGCACATAGGATCTCACTACTCAAAGTCTTGAATTAACTATGTAAATGGCCATATCATGCCCAAAAAATATCCCTTAGAATCAAGGAATCAACCAACAATAATGCTAGGGTTCACACAAAAAAAATGGATTATCGAAATTAATTTATGATAGTCATGCAAAAGAAGAGATTGATCTTCCCATTATAAATATGGATGAATAACATGCAGACCAGCTAACCACATTGGCCAAATTTAACAGAAACAATGCAAAAAATAAAGGATAGGAAATTTTCTCAATAGTCTAGAAACCTGGATCGACATGACAGATGTGATGGCCTGAGCTTTCCAGGCCATGAAGTATCATCATATCCATGTCATCATGTGCCTGCATGCTCACTAGCATGGACCAGCAACAGCAAGCAACAATTCTTACAAATTTGTTTTCCACATTTAGTTGGTGTCACAAGCTTCTAATATTATGAAAATTTATAAAGGAAATGATAATATTGATTGTCTAATGTAATTATCAGTCTTCCAAGTCTCTGTTCTTACATGATAAAAATTCAGTATAACATATATCCAGAAAAGAAGTTCTGATATTTTGCAACTTTATAAGTTAAATGATCTTGTGCACAACATTAACATAGAAATCAGGTGTCCGGTACGGAAGATATAACCTTGTTAGGAGTTATTTGAATATCTATAATTTCAAGGACATTATGCCTTAGATTGGGCCACAACTACACTTGAGTGGATGATATTATATGGTATTCTTCCCCGAGTGCTGGTGTGAAGACTAATGAGGAAATTGGAACAAAGAACAAGAGCGGATTAGCAACCAGGCGGCATGAAAAATCCACCAGAGGACTGATGATTGAAGAAACATGCATATCGAACTGCGCATACCCTTTGGAGTCTTTTATGGTAAACAAAAAAACGAAGGTAACCGAAAAAGATTATCTAAAACAAACTAGCTCCTTGACTAAAAGAGTTTAGCTAAATAAGAAAGCAATTAATAGAGATAGAAGCCGATTCAGCACACATCTCCACACCATTCTTCCAAAGGATGCCTAGTTAAATGCGGATCAAAACAACGGTTTGTTGATAGAAGAAGACGAGAGACTGTTCATTCAAGCAAGGAATATTTCTGGCACACAAGATACGGCTGCAACATAGAACTATTCAATTAGATCAAATTGATCGTGGGTTCCAACTCAAGCAACGAGAATTACCTAAACATATGTGCCCGTTGCTGTAGATGTGCGGATGAAGAGGCGCAGGATGCAGAAATATGACCTGAACAAAACCCACTAAATCATACTCCAATCATCCCAGCTAACAGAAAATAAGGAACCCTTACCAAGACGATCCAACGATTTCCTTACCTGTGGAGCTTCCATGGGATAATGCTCCGGGAAATCGACCTGCAGCTGGTACTTCTCGTTGGCATACAGCGTGCCGGGCGCTCCGATCACCTCGATCACCCACCTTGGAAGGAAAGAAAGAAAAGAAGGAATCAAGACGCTGGTCAAAACAAGAGGAGGGCAAGGAGCGAGATGAAGACCGAGCCCCAACCTTTGGAGGTTATCGGTGACCTTGTGCTTGAAACCGGCCGGTGGGTTGACTTGCCATTCCACCAGCTCTTTTTGGAGCCTGTTGCAAGCGATCTTGCTCAGGGCCTGCGATCAACCGATGCATACGAGGAGAAATTTAGGACCAAACGGTAGAGGGGAAATCGCAGGAGGAATCGGAACACGATGGTCGACGAAGGAATCCCAAGAAGAGGAGAACGACCACCTTGCGAGAAGCGGCGGAGGAGCTGGTCATGCTTCTGCGGCAGCGGCGGAGAAGAGGTGTCGTGCGGAGCGAGAGGTAGAGAGAGAGAGAGAAAAGGGGGCGTCTATTATGCATTTAATATAGTATTCTTTTCTTATCTTTTTTCAAAAAATTTCCTAAAATTCGCCCCAAATTGGATTTTAATATCTTTGAGAATTCGACTCGGACATCCCAATCTCATCAAATACCAAAAAGCTATTGACACGTCAATTTTTTTTATTATTTTTGTATTAATCGAATAAATTGATATTTCACCAAATTATACTTACAAAATTCTCAGATAATAAAATAAATCTATAGAAAGTCTGATATGAGTTAGATAAATTTAATGGTGTTTTGCGTTGCTCTAAATAATATTACACTTAATTATGGAATGAAAATAAAATATAATAAATTATAAAGGCTCCTAAAATATATAATTTTCTTTTAAAGGATAAGTGGTAAAGGAGAGTTTGGATCTAAACTTTATATTATACTCATTTATGAGTATAATATTATAAAGTTTGTCTTTCAAAATAGTAGGTAAATATGATGTACATAATAATTTTATTTTTGGATATTTTCTAAATTGGATTTCATGTGTTTTCAAGTACTCGAATTAGTCAGCCTCAATCTTCCCCGAATAAAGTCAAACCATACAAATGCATATATGGAGGAAAGACTACCATCTTCTTCTGCTTATACATCGCTCTTCAGGACCTGAAGGTGAAGGACATCATAGTCCTCATCTGTTTGCACTCTTTGAGCTCTGTGCTTGAGACATTGGACTCAAAACTAGAAGAGCTCGAGAGAATTTGAATTGCTGTCGATAGCTCCAAACTTCTTGGCAAGCTGAGAGAACTCAAGAAGACTCCACCTGATGCAGAATGATGTATGTTCTCTTCAAGTTAGAAATCCTTTCGCAAAAGACAAAAAGAAGAAAAGCAAAATGCTACAGGCAACCACACATGATTCCTGAACAGCCTTCCTTGTGAAGCTTAGAATATAATTAATGCAGTATAATCCAGTTGGTCAGACAGACAGTATGAGATTATGAAGAGGTGATTGATTGGATTGCAATAAACTTAAACAACAAAAGCTGACGACCTAAAGCACCCAAGAGAACTAGAAATCTGGAGTCTACTTTGTCGAGGTGCATTGCCCTGTGTAACCCCATAGTCTAATTACTAGCACCTGTCATCACTGCATTGAAGAAGGAAGCAGCATGGATTTGTCTATCACAAGAACAGTGCTATCTGACCAAAAAGAAATAAGCATTGTCACTCTTCTTCACATGACAGATCTGCTTTGGTGCTCTAGGAAATGTTTGCCATGTCCCCCCTGTCATCCTGTACTCGAAATTAGTTTGCAAATTAGGTCAACCAAGTCCATCTGGAAGTCCTTTTCCTCTTTGACTAATAAATATTTATTTGATCATGCAGCTTGACTAAGAGATACATGCACCTTGATCTAAGTCATGCATATGTCAACGTTTTCCATTGATCATCTGTAAATATTTCTAGTTAAGATTAATTCTTTTCATGGGCATGATGAATCCAGACTGATTTAGCTAATCAAATACATCACCAGATTAATTAAGTTGGCTAGGTTTTAGTGTCAGAAAAGGCACAATTGGTCAAGCAATTACTCTTGGCATCTCACAAAGGAGCATAACTTGCATCTTTCAGATTGCTTATGCTTTGCCATAATAGAGATGCTAGAATAGCTTTGGTGAAAAGCTACACTTTGGTGAACTTTTATCATTCAGATAGGTTCCATTACAAAGGTATAATAAATTCATTACCTACCAAGCATCTAACCATTGTTAGGCAAGTGCAAAAGTCGCATTTCCATTTAGGTAGGACTGAAAAATAAAGGAACAAAACAGGTTCTCCATAACATCATTAAGCATCAGAATATTACTGTCGCAAGTGCTCAACTGGACAGTACATATCCTCTCCTTTTTGAACTAGTAGATTCTGGAACAGACTTCAAAGACTCAGAAAGGAGCAACATTCAATTTGCAAGGAATAATAATTTGATTGCAATGACTTTTTTTTTTGGAATATATTGTCAATCAGGTACCTTGTGAACTGTGCAAAGAATTCTCTGTTCCTATCAGAAAGATCAAAATTTTCTTGACGCATGTCATGGAACTTGAGAAGATTTTGTGTTGTGCAAGGCATAGAAGTTTCTGTACAAACTTCCTCCATGTAAATGTAGAAACTGCTATCAGGGAAATTTCTTGGTTTCACATTCCTCTGAGAAATGTAGGAATTTGACTATTCCAAGTTGTTCAAAGTCATGGAAGACTTCATTAGTAGTTTCCTACATGGAAGTTTCTACTAGAATACATATCTCTATGCTGCCATCTTGATATATTCTTTTCTTTGTCTTGATAGATATTACTCAGGACTGGTATCTGGTAAGTTATATCCCCCATTCCAGTAGAAGTCAGATCACTCAAAATCAAAGATAAATTAGATCCACAAATTTCCGTGAGCAAAATGCAGAAAGAAATATATGAGAGATTTCCAGATTTACAAGTGACCAAACAACAAAGCATAAAGCATACCTGATCAGCTCTGGACACAGCACATAATAAGTAGAACCGTTCCAACTCAAATGCAATTGAAGTTTATTTACCTGTCAAAGTGTGATAAAATGTTAAGGCTTAAATGATAGCGTATCTTCAAATGCTCATCAGCCAACACCATAACAGCTAACCAAAGCAGCAGAGAAATTATTGGAAGTCAAACAGCCCTACATAAAACAAGAACAGACGAAGCACAAGCAAATTTAACCTACAAAAAGCTAATGAAATATTTACCGATCAGTGTTTTGAAAAGTACTAGACGCTAAAAGGTGACAAAACACTGAGTTACCTAAGTACTCACAAATATATATATATATATATATATATATATATATAATGAGAAGAGGGAGGAGAAATTGGGTAGGAGGAGATTGTTAGGTCTGAGAAGGATTGCTAGCTATAGTTGGAAGGGAAGATTGTTAGAAAGAGGCTCGCGGTCCAACAACATAAGGTAGAAGAGGCTTATAGTCCGACAGCATGGGGTGAAGGAGGCTCATAAAAGGATTTCGTTAGGTTCCTTTTACTAGGTTGGGCGTGCATGAGAGAGGAGAGAGGAAGGAAGGGGAGAATATATTGTGATTAGTTGGCTAGGTGGAGCCAATTATATCAAAATGATTCAAAGCATACTCAGATTAGATTAGGCGCACACTTGAATCACTAATGCTTGGGCTTAGGCGGGCAGCTGAGTGGCGCCCTTTTTAAATGCCTCGCCTTGACTTATGAGGCACTCGAGCCTTGTCTCGTCCAAGTATCTTTTGAGAATATAGATCTTAAGTAAAATATAACTTTTTTTTCAAGAAAAATCTCAAAACTATCTTGAATGTGATGTAATCTTAACACCATTTAAGTTTTATTAGATTAGCCGCTAGCCTACATATTTAATTTGAAAATTTAATATAGGTTTTTCTTTACTATTAATTGATGGTTGTTTGTTTAGGTTTTTCATTGCACATCAACTATGACAATACAAAGCAATTAGGATGCTTATAATGAATGTCATTGGATTTATGCATGAGCTTACTCATGCATCAACTATGACCAAACCAAGCCAACTATGACAATAACAAAACCAAGTCATCTAATACTATTGTATTGTCATAATTGATGCAGAAATATTAATTACTTTGTAACCAAACCAAAGACAACTATGATTACCATATCATTACTCATGCATAAGAAGTCAACTATGACCAAACTCATGCAGAAATCCATCATCGTTGGATTTCTCCATAAGTTTACGTATGCATCAACTATGACCAAAATAAGTCAACTACGACAATAACCAAACCAAGTCACCTAATACTATTGTATTGTCATATTTGATACAGGAAATATTAATTACTCTGTATTTTCTTTAATTCACCTATGACCAACATATCATTACTCATGCAGAACACAAAATCAAATTGTATCAGAATAGACTTGTGAAATTTAACTCTTTGAATAAGAAAACTTTACGATCAAGCCTATTGATGGATCCCTTGAGATCTATAGGCCGATCATTCACATGAGGGTAGGATATCTATACTTCAGCCTTGTACTTGGCCCCTGGCAAGATCTTCCTCTTAAAATGGGGAGAGTTTAACTTGATAAGAAAGATATCCTTCATTCTGGCATAACTCACTCAGGCACAGGTGATTGTGAAAAGGATTTTTTTATTCCCTCTAAGGGGCTACTCAAAATATGATTTTTAGAACACGGCGTGCATTAGCACTACAACTTTCAGCTATAGTTTGCTAGCTTGGCGCTATTACTATTTCTTGTAGGATGACCACATTTGAAGTATGTATGTCTTGTAAAGTGTGTTTTCGGGATGTGGCAACTTGTTAAGGAGCTTTAGGCTTTAAGAAGAAGAAGAAGAAGAAGAAGAAGAAGAAGAAGAAGAAGAAGAAGAAATGTAACGATCTGAAACTGGCCTGGATCGATCTTGTGCGATCGTCTGGCCTGACAAATTCGAGACAACCAAGATGGTAAGATCTACGAGAAGAAATCTTCGGCAGATTCTTCTTCTCGCTGGCCACTCCCGTTTTCTTGCTAATGGGACGCACTTCAACTAAACGAGACAAATAAGAAAACAGTAAAAATCCCAACTTTAACACAGAAAGGGGAATCGGAGCAGAACTCGTACCTCTTCTATTGCGTTGATCCCAACTTCGTGCATCGTCGAGTGCTTGCCTTGTAAGAAATTCTATGAAGTCAACTTGTGTTTCTAAATCATTGTAACAGAAACACAATAAACTAATGCGGAAACGAAATAGCGTACCTTCAGCCATTGTCGTCAAGAATTTCTGCAGAGGTTTCTTCTTGAACTTTGGTTCTTCTCGGCTCAGAACTCTCGCTTTAGATGGTGTAGGAAAGCCTTTCGCTTCAAAGAGATGATTGAGCCAAGGGACCAAAATCCTCATGTATATATAGATGTTCTCCCATCAAGAACATTTATCATCACCAACTCATAACGTTCAAGAATTAATTCAAATTTGTAACGTTTGGACCATAATGAAGAACTTAATGATATTAAATATTTAATTTATTAATAACGGTTTCATGCATAAAGAATAAGAAACTGAAATCATTTAAACCATATTAAATGAAGAAATTCATGATAATGAATTATGAATCTTAATGAGAACGGTTACGTTATTATTAAATCAGATATTTAATAATAACCGTTACATTCTCCCACTTGGTCCATACGTTTATCTTAATAATTTGAATTAATCTTTCTCGAACAACTTTATTAAGAAATAAATACATGAATCATAGCGATAAGTCCTCTAAGAGCGAGTATTATCATCCATGTATCACGATGTATTTAGTTTCTTAATCTTAATGTGGTAATATTACTTTATGAATAAACCTTATATTTATTCTTGGTCCAACAACAATATG